ACACACACACACACACACACACACACACACACACACAGCTATTCTTGCTGTCCTGCCTTGTGTGAGGCTCAAAATGAGCCTTCGGGGAGCCACTGTAAGCAGGGCTGGTCCACATATAGACACAAATACTGGTTTGTCTGCCTGAACACAAATCTGTGCATCCTGAGGATGAACAAAAATGTCACCAAACTGAAGGAAAACCAAAGTCATGTCAGTTAGATGTCCTGATGTGTTCCTGGTTTGTTCAGAGTATAAATTAAAACCAAATAGACCAATCAGAGAGGAGGTAGATCCTGCTGCAGATATTTTTTCCCAGACTCTTTATTAACATTTATTACAAACAAGCAAAGAAACAGTGTCCTGCTTCAGTGTTGATGTAAAACTGAGATCAGAAGTCCAGCAATGAGTTCAGGAGCAGCTCGGTGACTTCATTCATCCGATGTGAGGAAAAAACTCAATGAGTGTTGAAGCAGATTAATTTAATCTGAGGAGATTTTCTCACATTAACTCAAGCGGCTCAGAAGTGGATTAGACTCCTCCTGAAGCTTAGGCACGATCTGAAGCCCACAATGAAACAAAAACCAGAGTGAAGAAGAAAGCCTGACCTTAACACAACTGACATGCTGAGGCATGACCTGGAGAGCTCTGTTCAATTAACACATCCTAGAAATGTCGATAAACTGAAAGGACCAAATCAAAGTTTTCAGTAAACTCTAACAGAGGCTGTAGCTGCTAATGGAGCTTTATTCCTTTTAAAAAACTGTGTGTTTAGTCAGCTACAAGCTGCGACCTCCACATCAGAAACATGAACTGCAGTTCCTCGAGCAACACATGAGGCTAGCTCTAAAAGCAAATAACTCCCCATATACTGTATATAAAAGATGGACGTAGCCACCTTTGAATTACCATTAGTTCTGGAATCCGGATTTTGAAACCTCAGTGTTACTGGTTGAGATCATGTTGGTCTTTTAGGGCAGGAAGTTACCATTTTTACACCACAGGGTGGAGCGAAGCTATTAGCTAAAACTAGTTAGCTTAATTAGCAAGCTGCGACAACAAACTGATGCAGAGATAACCGTTAATTAGTTCTAATTAACCAAAACTGAAGCATAAATGCTTTGGATGAACTGTACCACACAGCAGGACACTATGTTTGTACAATAAATGCATTAAAACTGCAGTGAACAGGCTCCATGCAGCACCTCCAGCTAGCTGCAATATAGCTATGTGAACAGTGATTAGCCATGCTCCCTAGCTTAATTACACAGGTGTATGAGAGGTAAAGAAAAAAATTACACCTCTTAGAGTTGTTATAATGGGGGAAACTATTCAAATCACTGTACTGGGCCTTGATACTTTCTGCTGTTAGCACCACATAACAGGGATTAGATGTTAACATGCATGTTAACATTACTGCATATACATCCAGCGCATGTAGGACTTCTAGCCTCAGCTAATGTGTAGACCTCGTCTCTGCTTCTGCCTTTAAGACACAAAATGTCAGTGAAACAAGCAAACAAACAGTAACGGAGGCAACAAAGACAAAAACCGGCCTGCATGATCACGCAGCACTCCGCCCTGTTGTCCTGATTTTGTCATCACTACGGGCTCTGATGCTGAGGCATCAACATGTTGAATCCACTCACAGGCGGCGTGACAGTGGCTGTGTTCAGCTTTTACAGATGACATTAGATCACATTTTGAGTAATCAGTGGGGAAATCCTGGTGATTCCAGCTGGCTCACTACACGTTTACGAGTTTGCAGATTGACTGTGACACAGAGTAAGCGACTTTATCTTGTTTCGTGGATGGAAAAGCGTTGCAGCAGTGTAGTGTTGTGTAGAAGTGTTGGTAGCAGGCTGAGATGTGTGCAGGACGCTTATTTCTGAGAGCAGGATGATGGGAGCTGAGGGGGACAGACTTGTTGTTTTGCTGCAGGAGCAGATGGATGTTTGTTTGTGTGTATGTGTGTGTGGTAATCGTTGGTGTGTGTTTCCTGGAGTTTGAACTCTCTTCTTCTGCTGTTTGTCTGTTTCTGTGCTCGCTCCATAAAGCAAATTAAAACTGAGAGAGAGAGAGAGAGAGAGGAGGATTAGAGGATTTAACGTGCTGGTCAGAGCTGAACATTAAATCTGATGAATTCAGATTTTTCTCTCAGACTCACAGCCCATGTTTACTGTATTAATGAGGACCTTCGGGCTGCACGTGGAGCCGGTCCTGCAGAACACCAAGTCTGAGTCTGATCACTCTGACGGGCGTTTGCACCTGCACAGAGGTCGGTGTGTCCACGTTCGAGTCCGGTTAGGGTCAGCTGAACCAGCCTTCAGCTGTGTGCTTGTTTTAGGAGAGCCTTGAAGCTTCTGCTGGAGACAGTCAGCAGAAAGCAGGCAGCTCGAGGCTTCTGCGTTTGTTTTTCACCGACGAGAAGCTGTCAGAGCAAAGTGATGCAGAGACTTTGCAGCATAGAGCCATAGAATAAAATTTCACCCAATTCTTTCTTGCTTTTGTTTAGATCTTTTTCTTCTTTATATATTTTGCTTTTCCTCTTTCTTAATTTTTTTTGTGGCTTCTTTCAAACTTTCTTTTGCATGTTTGTTCCTGTTTCCTTGATTTTTCTATTTTTCTTCTTTTATTGATTTTTCTTTGTATACTTTGCTTTTTAATTTCTTTACACTTGTTTTTTTCTTTTCGTTTTGCTGTTTTGCTCCGTTTTTCACTACTTTTCACTCTTTCTTTCCTCCTCTCTTTCTGTTTTAGTAAAGCAGCTTATTCCGTTTCAGGCTCATGGCGGCATCGAGGGAGCCGAGGCACTCAGGCTCCTCTCTCTCTCTCTCTAGTAGCCTCCTTCAGCTCCTCTTAGGGGATCCCCTGCCACTCCCGGCTCAGCTGCAAGTGTAATCCCTCCTGAGAGTCCTAAATCAGCCGTGGGCACCCTGCGCAGTTGGCTGGAGAGAGTTATACTTGTGGTTTTATTCTTTCAGTCATTACCCAAAGTTCATGAACATGGGTCAGTGTGGGAACATGAGCTGACATGACTCGCCTAACCGAGCTTCCTTTACCTTCTCTTTATTTGACCTTTAACCTTTTTATCCTGTTTAAAGTTCCTTTGTGATGCTTTGCAGTCGTTTCTGTGTGAACTGATATGTTGCTCAGAGAGATTCAATAAGATGGCCTTAGTTTATTTAAACAGGAAGTGATGTCAGATCCTCTGCTTCCTATCCTTCCAGATGTCACCAATTCACTCGGGCACCACAGATGTTTCAGATGCATAAAGCATATAGTCATGTAGAAGAGTGGTCCCCAATCCCAGGCCAGTCAGTGAGTCGTTTGGTACCAGGCCACGAGAGTTGAGGCTCGGGTGTGAAATTGATGGTTTTCAGGGTTTTTACCATCTTTACAGTTAACTCGGTTTCCCTGGGTCTTTTCCTGTGTGTTATGAATAAATCTCCTTTTTTTGGTGCCTGTACTGGTTTTATTTTGTTGTATTTATCTGCGACACCTTAAACGCCGGTCCATGAAAATATTGTCGGACATAAACTGGTTTG